GCTACACCGTGATCCCCCCAACAAGCGGAAGAGCTAAAATAGACTTGAAAAGCCTGAAGGACACCCTAAACCCTAAACCCTAAAGCCCTAAACCCTAAAGCCCCTAAACCCTAAAGCCCTAGAAGGACTTTTCAACAAAATACTAAGAAAGACTAACTGCAGCCCCTAAAGCCGGCCTTGCAGCGCCTGAACACTGAACCCCAAACCTAAGACCCTAAGTTTAGGGTTTAGGGTTTAGAGTTTAGGGTTTAGGGTAAAACACCAAAGGCCCCAAAGAACCCTAAAAGCCCATAATAAAAACACGAAGAACAGACCCTATAAAGCCTACAAGCCTCAAAAGAATTGAAAGCCTCCAAAAAGATTCAGGAAAACGCTATCAGCTAACAGCCGTGAAGCCCTACAGACCCTTTTACTGTTTCCGCCCTGGCCTTCGCCGAGGGAAGCTTGGCGACAAGATCGGAGGCGCCTGTGGAGAGGGGGCAAAGGCAAAAAGACTCCAAGATCTCGGAGGAAAAGCCTCGGGGTGTAGCGTTTTTTTGGGGTTTAAGGTTTAGGGCTCTCTTAGAAGGGATCGCATTGAGAAGGTCTATATGCCCAAGGCTCTGGGGTAACCCCCAGAACCTACCAAGTTTAGAGGACGTCTAGAAGGAAGTCAATGCTAAGAAGCCCACGACATGTCGAGGGTCCATCTTGGGCGGTGAGGTTTCCGGCCTGCTGTGGTTGAGGGTTTCGGGTTTTTGGGCCTAATTCAGGGTTTGAGGGCATAGAACCCTAAACCCTAAACCCTAAACCGTAAGGTTTAGCCCTATCCCGTAGAGCTCTAAACCCTAAACCCTTAGACCCTAAACCCTAAACCCTTACACCCTAAGCCCTTAGACCCTAAACCCTTAGACCCTAGACCCTAAACCCTTAAACCCTAAACCCTTAGACCCTGAACCCTAAACCCTTAAACCCTAAACCCTCAACCCTTAAACCCTAAACCCTTAAACCCCTAAAACCCGTAAACCCTAAACCCTTAGACCCTAAACCCTAAACCCTTAGGCCCTAAACCCTAAACCCTTAAACCCTAAACCTAAACCCTTTGGCCCTAAACCCTAAACCCAACTTTAGGGCGCCAGATCTCTGGGCTACAGATCTTTCAACCTGACAAATCACCTGAGCTTCGAATCGTCGAAACAACGGTTGATGATCTAAATCCTGCAGTACCTTAAGGACCCTCAACTATGGGAATTCTGGTACATTCCTTATTGTGGGTAATACAGGATTTATATCATCAACTGTACAACCCAACAGCCTAAGTATTAGCCCTACGCTGATAGGCTCTAGTCTTCAATAACCAGGCCAGGCCCAAAAAAGCTCAAACTTTCCAAGATAGACCCCACAGACAAGGCAAAACATATCAAAGCTTTCTCATTGGCTGTCTAAACACCCTGCACCCTGAGCCACGGAAAGGGTGAAGGAAGGAATATGGGGGGTTTCCGAAAATAGGGGACCCTAATATAGTACCGAAAATAGTAGGATCCTTATTATCAGGACCCCCAAAAACCCTAAACCCTAAACCCCAAAATAAGGACCCCAAAAACCCTAAACCCTAAACCCCTAATTTTCGGAAAGTCCCATGATGGGTGCTGCCCTGAAAGAAGAGCCGCCTGACAAAGCCACTGAACCAACTTCCTCGAAGTCGTCCTGCATGGCGGGCCAGGATACGGTTTAGGGTTTAGGGTTTACAAAAATCTAGACCCTAACAGGATAGAAGGATAGAATTTGGTTACGGTTTAGGGTTTAGGGTTTAGGGTTCAGGGCTTAGGGCCCTCAGTGCTAAACCCTGTGCCCCAATCCGCAGGGTGTAGGAAGTTTAGCATTCCTTCTGTGAAATGTGCCGGAGTTGAAGCGCTTTGGAGTTTCTAAAAAATGTAGGACACCACGACCTTGAACATGGACCCACCTTTTTTCTCTTATTCCTTCAGGTTGAGTGGACGGTAACCGGCTGCAAAAGCGGATTTCCAGCAATGGCGTCGATTCAGGGCCTGGGGCATCAGGCTTGGACACTTCAGCATCGTGTCCAGTACGTGGTCTTATTTAGGCCTCTGCTAAACCTGGTGTTTTCACTCATTACACTCAATGATTACCGACTACCCTTCTTCGTACCCGCAGGTCAATTCAAATCCCCGTACCCGCCATCCCTGCCATTTGGCTGCAAGGCCTAGGTTCCGGAGTGACCCCTTAAGAATAAGGGCACCCTTTTTCCTATTATTCAGCTTTAATAAGGGAACCATACAATAAAAAGGGCAAAAGGGTACTACTCAGGAACCTAGGTCGGACAGGGCGAAGTAGAGCTGATGCTAAGGGGCCTGCGACTTGGAATCTCCCATCCTCAAAGACGACATGGACCCGAAAAGGTCTTTAATTTAAGGTTCAAAATATACCATATATGGGGATTTATAGTATAAGGGTATAGAGGATCCCTACATTTAAGGTTCATATATAGTATAGGGGTATATGGGATCCCTACATCTAAGGGTCCCCTTTTTTTGGGATCTGCCGCCGAAACCCCAAACCCCGGAAGTCGGAAATCCCTAGGCCCTGACCCCGAACGCCTTCCGGCCTGGGGCACAGAGTTGAGCCCCCAAGGTTTAGGGTTTCGGGTTTAGGGTTTAGGGTTTAGGGCCCAAACAACACCAAAACTTAACACCCCAACCTAAAGCCCTAAACTCTACACCCTACACCCTACACCCAAAACTCCTATTCCTAAACCCTAAACCCTATAAACCCTAAACTCCTAAACTCCTAATCCAAAACCCTAAACCTCTCGAAACTGTACTTCTGGGAGTTTCGGGCCCCTGGGTTGTAGAGTTTGGGAAGCGATTGGGGACCTGGGTTTCGGGCTTCGGGGTCTGCGGTCCTTTAGGCTTTGGGGTTTAAGGGTTTAGGGGTTTAGGGTTTAGGGGTTTAGGGTTTAGGCTTTAGGGCTTAGGGTTTACGGGTTTAGGGTTTAGGGGTTTAGGGGTTTGGGGGTGTAAATGTTCAGGGTTTGGGTGAACCACAAGCTGGCAAGCCTCTAACCTCGAAACCCTGCCGCTCCCCAACCTTGCAACACGCAGCCCAAAACTCTTGGGTTCAAAGCACGTGCACAACAACAATGCCTTTAAACCCTGAAAAAGCAAAACCCTAAACCCTTTTCCCTAAACCCCTAAAGCCCCAAACCCTAAACCCCTAAACCCCTAAACCCTAAACGCCGAAACGCCTAAACCCTAAACCCTAAACCCCTAAACCGTAAATCCTACCCTGAAAGGCATCTGCAAGCCTCCAAAAGCTGTGACTCCAGAGGCTGCGAGGCCACCTCGCTGGTGGGCTGTGCGGGGTACCCGGCTTACGGTTTGGGGTGTAGGGGTTTGGGAGTTTAGGGTTTAGGGTTTAGGGTTAGGGGTTTAGGTTTTGGGGTGTAGGGGTTTGGGGTTTTGATGGTTGTAGGGTTGAGGGTGGGTTGTTTAGTCGTCTGAGTTTCTGTAGGGTCTACAGGCTTCACAATGCTTTCAGTTTTGAGGTGGCTGGTCTTCTCTTTTAAATTAGACGATCAGGGTGCATTATCGTAAACTATACTTAGAGCAACCCTGACGGATGGTATTGGTAATCCTTCTAGCTTCTATACTAAGCCTTGGAGCCCTTTTTGAACCCTGAACCCTACGAAGACCCCACGGAGTGTTGCAATCGCAAGCTTAACCCAGAGAGCCAAATACTTCGCACACGCCGAATCCACCAAGCATCTGAAACGAAGCCCTATGCAGTCTGAAATTGAATTTTTCTGCAAAACCCTTCATGAGAGTTTCAGGGTGGGAGAAGAGGAGGTGCGGTGCGTAAGGATTCCCTCTCGGGAAATTTCGGGAACCCGGAAATTAAGGGGTACAGGATGGTACAGATAGCTATACACTCCAATGTAGAACCTTGCTGAAACCCTCTTAAATTATAAGTCACCATCAGCAAAGCGTAGCCGGTCCCCTAAATACCCTCGAACTTCGAACCGCTACAATCCTAAATCGCAAAGCCCGAAACCCTAAAGCCTTAATGACTAAACTTCAACCCGATTCAGGAAACAATAATCATGCAAGGCCCCACAAACCCTTCCAAGATGCCTTGTCTTGTTCCTACATACGAAACACAAATCCCAAACAAAGAAAACCTCAACCCCGAAACCCCCTGTGCTTGGCGCACTCCACGCGCCTAGGTTTTGATCGGCGCTTTACATCTTCAGAAACACCGGATGCCGATGTCAAAAACCAGCAGTTGCCAATGCTTCAAGGCGAACACGCTACGATCCGGGGCCTGTGGCCCTTCGGCACGCACTGCAATCGTCGCTATGAGCAAAACGTAGAACTTATAATTTGCTCGTGCGTAGAAATGAGATGAGGGAGTGTCACGACGGAAAGTACGCGCGAAAAACCAAGTCACGAAGCAACAGTATGGCTCGTGGCACGTGGCCCTTCGGCATGCGCCACGGTCTCAAGCACGGCTCGCAATGCAAGTCTCTTTGAGCATGCCTTGGCCTTATAAACCTGCAGAGTTTAGGGCTTCTAGTGTTGCCTGGGACATGATCGACAGGTGAGGGATCTTAGGAAAAGTAGCTCACAAGGCCTTCGGCACAGGTTCTTGCTGCGTTATTCGTGCCTGGTTTTGATCGACACTTAGCCAACGCACGGTTTGCAGGTTGCAATGACCTGAGCGCTGCATGCTTCAATTTTTGCAATACCAAGTCTGTTCCAAAATTTCTTCGTTACTCTGTGGCGATCGAAATTATCAAGATTTGTGGCACATCATCCTGCCGGTCGTATCCTTGCAGAATCTGTTCGGCAGATGCGGGGACATGCAATTCACAACAAGACCATACCTTGTTAAAGACCAATGAACAATAGTAGGTATACTCTTGTACTCTGAATCTCTATAATTGTAATCTATGAACTTAGAACCCTTCTATGGTTCGTTTGGTCGCTCTGAATTCCTATTCTTTAAAGTCTCGAGATTGAAACTGGTGAAACGTCGTCTTGCCGGCCATAATGTTGCGGCTGTCGTCCGCCAGATAGCGGGACGTATCTCTCAACTCCCTCTCCCGGGAGCCACGTGGAGACGTCCACCTCCCAGTATGTGTAGCCCTTCTTTTCCAGCCAGGCGACCTCGGCTTTCTGGGAGTTGCCGAGGCCCTCTGCGGTGGCCAGATACTCGCACTCTGTCTCCGAGAGGGAGGCGAGGAACAGGCGCCGGGCTTCGCGGCTGTACTGGGAGGATCCGTCGCCACGTGGCTCCTTGGAGAGGTTGCCGAGACCTGCGTCCAGCGCCTGCTCGAACTCGAAAGACTCCTCAAAGTCGCGTTGCTTCTTGTTTACCTTCTCCCTGTGGAGGTTGTCGTCGCCTGCCGTGTCGAAGCTCTCCACCTTGCCTTTGCCAACATGGTTCTGGAAGTAGTAAACTTCCAGCTCTGCTCCGGACTCCACGGCCGTCTCGATGTTCTCCCTCCACTTGGTGAACCACCTGCACCCCCAAGGCTTCTTTTCACCGTAGAGGGGCGTGCACCAGCAGGTGCCGGGCAAGCCTTCAGCCAGTGGGATGCTGTCGCATTGGCCGTAGTCATCCGTGCCCTCAGGGAGAAAGACGACGGCTGCACTGACCTCGCCATTCCGGCCTTGCGACACGAGGGATTCCCATGCTCCCGCGTACTTCCCAGGCCAGCTGGCCACGCAGGGCCGCCCGCGTTCGGGGATGACGCTCCCCTCGAAGCGGATGGTCCGGTTGCTGAGTTCGCGTTGGGCTTCCTTGCGAGATCGTTCTAGGGCGGCCATGTCATAATCGTTCAGCGAAACGTCTGCATGCCAAACACGGACCAAAAAAAAGCCGCCCCAAAACAAGGGCACAGGCCAAACGATGCAGTCCACCAGAATCCTTGCAGACCGTGTTGGACCGTCATCACCAGCAGCAACGCCAGCGCGAGGAACCCCAGAAGACGGATGCCAAAACGGAGCCAAACAGCGTACTTTCCAAGATGAAGGTCATCGCGTTCATTTTCCCAGTGAGCAGCAACACTTAAAAAACTGAGACAGCAGCACAACGGCACCGTAGCGCTCGCCAACAGTGCGCTCGCAAGAGCACTTGCAGGCGGGATTGCAACGCAAACGATCAGGAGGACAAACGGAAGACCAATGCAACATGGAACCCACCATACTTCCTTCAATGCTTCTGCGTTCCGCTTCTCTGCGGCGGCCTCCTGGATCATCTTGTCGGTCCGCATCTGGGCTTCTTTGCGTCGCTTGCCTTCGCGGGCCAGCTCCCGGGCCTCGGCTCGGTCGCGGCCTTTCGCCTCCCGGCTGAAAGATTCGAAGTCCACGGAGGCCCATAATTCCTTTCTTCTATAACCAGGCCCAAACAAAAGTTCAAGCTTTCTAACAAGGTACACCAAGCCTATATACAGCGGAAAAGCTTAAAGCTAAAGTTCTGCCATGGTCAATCTGAGATACTGAGGAGCCATCGGTCACCTTGCAGCTGCCCTTCAATGCTGGATTTTCCAGCAAGCGAACCTCCACGGAGGTGGCCCCGTCATCCGGCACCTCGACATTCCAAGACTTCTGGGGATACACGACCTGCCACTCTCCGCTCCGAAGCTTCACTTCGATGGAGGTTTGCAAGTCGTTCCCCACGGAAACCGCGGCCATGGCGTCGCTTCGGAAAGAGGTACACCCGCAAGGGAACCAAGACGGAAAACCTTCAGGCCTTTGGGCCCACAAGCCCTATCATATTATCAGGATTTTGGGCTATCTTTTGATGGTAAGGGTTCTAAAAACCATGCAAATAATCATTAAGATCCTTAAAACGTACCTTTAAGGGAACCCTTATAGTAGTAACCTCAAGGGCAAAAAACCCCAACCCCGGCATGGCCGTCGCTTCTCGCGTTTGCGAGGGAGGGCACAGGCTCGGGCCTGGCGCTGCGAAGGCCGCA